AGGACAGGCTGTGTGTCAAATCCCCTGTGAGTTCTCTGTGCCCCAGGGTGTCCATCTGGAAGATGGGCCTCGTTGGAAGGACCGAATAATGAATCCCTGCGAAATGCTCACACAGACCCCGGCCTCCCGGGAGCCCTGTTGTCATAGATCACCCATGTGGGCCCCTCCCGACAATGGCTTGGATCAGAGGGGACCCTCGTTAATTTTTCCAGCCTCCTCTGAACTCTTTGGGGTCCTGGTTTGCTGCTGGGGCCTGAAGCAAGAGGCAGAGGAAGTCAGTGTGTGACGGGAGAAGCAGAGAAGCATCTGCTGAGACGGTCTTGTTCTCTGCTGTGTCCCCAGCACCTGGAACAATGCCCAGCACACAGTAGGTGCACAGTAGCTGCCTGTGGACTGAGCATCTCCCCTGGGCCTGGCTCTGTGCTGCGGGCTTTATCCGTGCGCTGCAGGGGAAAGGAAGCATCCCCTCACCCTGCAGGTGAGCAGGCCGGGCTCGGGGAAGTGACAGAAGGGAAGCAGGAGGACCGAGACTCAGATTCGGGTTTTCCTCCTTCCCGAGCCCGTGGCCCTTCCAACCCAATGAGGAGGAAGGGTCTCCTTTGAGTGTTAAGTTGGAACCAGGAATATCTTTTCAGAGTCACTCCACAAACAGCTGTGTGAATGCAGGGATGAGACAAGGTCCCTGACCTGCACGCAGAGGGCGGGTGGTGCTCAGAATTGGCTGCATCGGTGAATAAGTGCTAAGGTTAGAATATCATGTTAATAATAACAGCTTGTGTTTCTTGAGTGTGCACTGCAAGGCGGGTTCTGTGGCTTCCTCACCTGCGAAATGCGTGTAACAGTCAGACCCCTAGGCTGGAGTGAAGGCTTCAGTGTGGCTCTTAATCTTCTCAGCGCCCCCTGGAGGTGGCGAATATGAAGTACCCCCATTTTTGCAGGTGAGGAAAGGAGGCCCAGAGGTGGAGCCCCGCCAGTGGAGGAACCCAGGTGTACGTTCTGGCCTCCCACTGCACTGTGGGTCCGGCAGGGCCACTGTGTGATGGTGCCTTGGGGAAGAGTGGGTATGGTCCCAGGGACGTGGTCCCAGGCAGGGTCTGCGAGCCGGCACCAGGGTGCTGATCGAGCGCCATTTTAAAAAGAGCCAGCAGAGGGCGCCCTTAAGCCACGATGCCTGCTCTTGGCGGCCTCTGGGTGGCTCGGGGGCCAGGAATGGTGCGGTGTCCCCCGTGCCTGGGGCATCCTGAACAGAGGATAGGCCTGGCTCAGGGCTTCTGAAGGATGAGACGTGGTGGCTGATACCGGAAAGAGTGAGGTGGGTGCTCAGGCCTGGGAGCCACCTGGCCTCTGCGTGTCCTCAGACACGTCACCTTCCTTCTCCAAGCCTTGGTTTTCTCGCTGGAGAATGGCCATGACCCTAGCGTGCAATCCGAGGGATGGTGTGAGGATTAATGTGGACTCCGCCCAGAGCCTGGCACGGGGGGGTGCTTAGGAAGGGGTGGCTCATCTCTGTGGGAGGCGGCAGCAGTGCTCACCTCCCCCAGTGTTTGACCCCAGGCCACTTCTCCCACACTGGGCAGCCCCACGCCCCATACCTTGTATTTCATCCCTGCAAGATTGGTATCAGAGCTCCATTTTTCCAGCCGTGGATACGAGGAAAGCCGTGTGTTCCCCGGTGCCCTAGCTCGGGGGGTCCCAGCCCTGCTGTCAGAGTCACCCAGGAACGTTTTAAAGTCCTGGTGGCCTGTGTAGCACGGTGAAATCTGGCCCCCTGGAAGCAGGGTCCCCCCCCACCCCGGGATATTTTTTAAACTTTCCAGGTGGCCGCAGTAGGCAGCCAAGATGGAAAACCACTGCCCAGGAGCGGGGCATGGGCAAGGGCCGAACCAGGTTTTCAGAGGCAGTCGGCCTGGCCTCCCATCACAGCCTCCACCTTTCCCCCGTGGGAAAGTGGGCGCCAGGAGGCCAGAGAGCTCAGGCCCAGCTTGTTCCGTCTCCACAACTGAGACGGCGTGTGCCCCAGAGCAGGGCCTGGTTGAGGCGGGTGACAGCTGCCAGCCCGGAAGGCTTCCTATGCAAGCCCCCCATCACATGCCCAGTCAAAATCTTCAGCGGCTCTGGGGCCCTGCTTCCTCCCTCCTGGGGCCCCGCCCCCTGGGATCCCAGCCAAGCCCTTCCCCTCAGGAAATGGGCTCTCACTGGCCTGAGACGGGCACATAATTAACAAATAACCATTCTGGCTTTGGCACAAATGAGCTTCTTGTCTGGGGCAAGGCTGGCTTTTGTTTTTAATCCCTAAAGTCGGCTTTATCTCCTGAGAGCTGCTCCCTCGTGCTCAGCCACCTCTGCTCTGAGGCTGGGGGGCCTGGGGGGTTGAGAGGGGCAGGAGTCCTGGCCCCCTCCTTTCCCGCCCGCTCCTCCCTCCTCCCTCCCCCCTTCTCTCCCTCCCTCCCTTCTCCCTCCTTCCTCTCTCCTCCCCCATCTCCTCCTCTCTCTCTCCTCCCTCCCTCCCCTCCCCCTTTCTCTCCCTTCCCCCCCCCCTCCCCCCTTACCTCCCCTCTCCCCCTTACCTCCCCTCTCCCCCCTTCCCCTCCCCTCCCCTCCCTCCTCCCCTCTCTCCTCTCAGCCTCCAGCATCTCTCCAGGGCCCACCAAGCGACCTGATGCTTCCTGATTAACAATGTGGGCTTTGGGGCTTCCCTGGTGGCGCAGTGGTTGAGAGTCCGCCTGCCGATGCAGGGGACGCGGGTTCATCCGGGAAGATCCCACATATCGCGCATGGCTGCTGAGCCTTTGCGTCCGGAGCCTGTGCTCCGCAACGGGAGAGGCCACAACGGAAGAATGTGGGCTTTGTCACTGAGCTCCCAGAACCTGTTAAAATGCAAATGGTGGCCCTGGGAGGAGTGTGGTTTTTCTCCATTAGCCTTTTATTTTAGAACTTTGGAATATTCGCCGAGGAAGGGGCCTTGGAGACCGAGCAGGGAGACTCCCTTCGGTTCCAGGTAATAGTAACCAGACCTTGCTTTTGTGGCCGGTGCTCCCCGAGACGCACTTTGTGGATGATTCTAGAGGAAGCTTGCAGGGACCGAACACCGTCTTGGCCCCAGCTCACTGGGCAAGTACTTCCCATTCATTCATTCCGTTCATTTCCTCACGCCCAGCACCCGTCACTTGGCGGCAGCAGCAGCCAGGTCTGGGATTTGGGTTTTGGTTTTGGCATTAACGAGCCTCGGGCTTTTGAGGTTCCTTTGTTGCCTGTTAGGACGTCAGGCATGTCCCTGATCCAAACTCCCCGACCCCTGGATGTTATAGAGCTGGCTGTGGCAAACCACAGCCCTTGCGCCAGAGCTGGCTGCTCCTCCTATTTGAGTAAATAAAGTTTTATTGGCACACAGCCCCGCCCACTCATTCACATATTGTCTGTGGCTGTGTTTGCCCTCAGTGGCAGAGCTGAGAAGTTGCAACAGAGACTGCATATCCCCCAAAGTAAAACATATTTACTCTCAGGCACCTTTTAGATAGTTTCCTGGCTCTGTTATAGGATCGTGGTTACAAGAAGCAGAAGCTTTTGGAGTCAGACAGACCCGGGTTTGGGTTCAGATCCTGCCCCTGCCTGTGCACTGGGTGTTCACCGCTGTGCAAGCTCTTACCCTCTCTGGTCCTCAGTCTGTGAGTTTGCATCTCACGGGGTAGCCATGAAGCCTGAAGGAGGAAGTGTCTGGCACGTGGCCAATGATCCTTAAAGGCTGACTGGTGCAGTGATAACAGGAGGGCTTCCTCCAAGTGGCTTCTTTTTATGTGTTTTACATTCTGGGCTTCTGTGTAAGATGGCAGGAAGAAACAGCATACTAAGGCTTTCAAGAAGGTCGGCAGTGGCCTTGGTGGGTACTCCTGAGGGGCTTGTAGTCTGATGCAGGGGATGTGGCCTCTTTCTACAAAACTAACCAGCCTGTTAGATTCAGGGGGCCACAGGGGCTTCCTAGCGGGGAAATAGGAATGGAGTTTCAAGGACAGGCAAGCTGTGCTGACTGTATCAGTTACCTACTGCTGCGTAACAAATCACCCCCAAACTTAGTGGCTTAAATATTTATTATCTCACAGTTTCTGGGGGTTGGGAATTCAGGGACAATTTAGCTTGGAGGTTCGTCGCAGAGGGTCTCGTGAGGTTACAGTCAAGCTGTCGGCTGGGCCTGTGGTCTCATCTGCAGGCTTGCCTGGGCTGGCGGACTCACTTCCTAAGTGGCTCCCTCCCACGGCTGTTGGCTCACCACCTGGGCTTCTCCTCAGGCTGCTTGAGCATCCTTACAACGTGGCGGCTGGCTTCCCCAGAGCGAGAGCACGAAGGAAGTGCGGTGTCTTTTATGACCTCTCCTGAAGTCACACGCCATCCCATCCCTCTTTTTCTAGGCATTAGAATTCATCCTCAGTCCATCCCGTGCTGGAGAGGAGGGGAATTAGACTCCACCTGTTGGGGACATACTTGAGAACCACCACCCCAAATGACAGTGGTCATTTAGGAGCACTGTCCCAGTGGGGGTCAGGGAAGGCCACCCCACTGCTCGGCTCCTCATGTTGGCTAGGCGCTCAGATACTTGAGCTGATGCAATCCAGTCTGGGGCTGTTTGGGGGGAAAAAAAACGCAGTGATGGGACACAGAGACAAAGATGTGACTACCCAATTCAGCAGTGCCTGAAGTTGTTGTGTTTTTTTTTTTAATTAATTAATTTATTTATGGCTGTGTCGGGTCTTCGTTTCTGTCCGAGGGCTTTTTCTAGTTGCGGCGAGCGGGGGCCACTCTTCATCGCGGTGCACGGGCCTCTCACTATCGCGGCCTCTCTTGTTGTGGAGCACAGGCTCCGGACGCGCAGGCTCAGCAGCCATGGCTCACGGGCCCAGTTGCTCCGCAGCATGTGGGATCCTCCCAGACCAGGGCTCGAACCCGTGTCCCCTGCATTGGCAGGCAGACTCTCAACCACTGCGTCACCAGGGAAGCCCCTGAAGTTGTTTTTTATTTAAAATTGAAGCAGTCCTACTTGCTCTGTCCCAGGCAGAATGCTAGCTTCAAGGGACACATGGCTGAGTGAGTAGAGGCTGTCCTCCAGCCGCGCACAGTAAAGGGGGACAGAACTAGTCGTTGCCATACAGTGAGATGAGCCCTGGAAGACCTCAGACTGAAGGAGCGGGGTCAGATACCCGGGACATCTTCCCCCACAGAAGAGCCTACCGTGCTGGCTTTTGCAGGATCAGTAGGAGGTCACCGCCCTGCCAAAGCAACGAGGAGCGCTCCAGGCAGGCGGGGCGGCCTGTGCAAAGGCACGAAAGGGCTGGGGAGCCCAGGGCATTTGGGGGCCTGTGGGCATTTCGGGGCGTGTGGGCAGGTGGCAGGGAATGAAGCTTCAAAACGAGTTTGGGCCAGACCGTGAAGGCTGAAGGCTGGGCTAAGAGGCTGACTCTAATTTATGATCAGCATTTCCCAAAATGTATCTCATGACTCATAGTCTTGTGAGATGGTAACAGGTGTCCCTCCAAAAACAGACATCAAGGTTATTTAAGTTCAGGAAGCCCGGGTTGAAGCACAGTGAAAGCAGCTTCCTTAGTGCAGGACTTCTCAGAGCCTTTAATTCTCTAACATGCATGGGACTCTCCAAGAGGACAGAGTAGATGGGATTCGCAAACTCATTTGATCAGGGAGCCCCCTTCCTGAGGGAGTCTGAGGAGGCCAGTGTTGCAGGGGACACACTTTTGGAAAAATGCTGCCTGTAGCTAGTTACCAAGAGCTGGTGAGAATTCTGAGCAGCTGTGAGGTACGATCAGGTTTGTTTCTGATGCTGTTTGGAGGGCGGGCTGCCGAGGGGTAAGCCAGGGGGCGGAGAGGCTAGCTAGGGGCGTGAGAGGGGGGCGGAGAGGCTAGCTAGGGGCGTGAGAGGGGGAGAGGAAGGATGTCCCAGGTATTAAGGCGGTGGAATCTGCGGGCTTGGTGGTTGATTAAACTGGCCGGAGGGTTGGAGGGCAAGGAGGACAGGAGGACTGTGGCCGAGGCTCTGGTTTCCAGCGCATGGTGACGGCTTTGACTCAGATGGGGAGAATAAGGAAGGGGTTTGGCGAGGGTACTTTTATGTCAGCTGGAGATGAAAATGGGGCTGGGCTGGATTACCTGGACTGAGTTTATGGGAGAGAGAAGAGAAGGAATTTGACAACTTAGAAGAAATGGACAGATTCCTTGATTAATGCAACGTAGCCAGATGGACACAAGAGGAAACAGAAAATCTGAATAGCCCCGTCTCTATTAAAGAAACCAAAGCGCCCAAAGAAAATTCCAGGCCCAGACAGTTTCTCCGGTGAGTTCATCACTCTTAAGGAAGAAACGATACTGATCTCACGCAAACTCTCTCAGAAAATAATTTGTGGGAGAGGTCACTTCACACATGGCTATGATTCGGACAGGTCTGGGTTCCGGTTCAAGCCCGGTTGGTTTCATCCATTCAGAGCCGTGTTTTGAATACCTGCTGCGTGTCACACACCCAGGTCACAGTCGTGGACAAAGCAAAGCAAACTCACGCCCTCGCCAAGTTGCGCAGGGTCGGACGGGTCATTGCGCCGTCCTGAGGCGCAGTTTCCTCGCGTGTGGCGTGGGGACACTGTGCTGGAGAAGGGCGGCCGGCAGGAGCGGTGGGCAGTCCCCGGCAGCCACTGATGCTTGTCTCTCTGTCGTGTGTGTGCGTGTGTGTTCCACGGCCTGCCCTCTCAGGCTTAAAAATGTGTGTCAGCAGCAGCCACGATGAGGCCCCCGTCCTGAGCGACAAGCACCTGGATGTGCCCAACATCATCATCACCCCGCCGACCCCCACGGGCGTGATCCTGCCGAGGGACTCCCGGAGGGCAGGTGAGGCCACCCTGCCACCGTGCTAAGCCAGGGGGTCTGGGGGGCCCCCTTCCGGGCTGTGGGTCTGCCCCACCCCCAGTTTATTAAAAATGTACACTCGGCTCTGCGTACACTCCACCGTGGGCCCCTCGCCGTGGCACCAGCCTCAGCAATAGTGGTACGTTAAGTAATTAGCTAGACAGCCCCTGCCGGCAGCCGGGCGAGTGATGGATGGGGCTGGGCGGGCCCACGGAGGTGACGGACGGAGGTGCCTTCCCCTGCAGCTGGGGAACTGGGCCTCCGTCCTGCCGGCCGCCTCGGTTCAGCCGGACAGGACAGGCTTGGAAACTCCCCCGCGCCCAGGCTGTGGCCGATCTCCGCGCCTTCCGTGGCAGCGCACTGCAGGGAGGAGAGAAGGGATGGGACCGTTCCCGGTGAGAGGGAGCCGCCCAAACTGCTGTGTCCCCACCCCCGGCCCCTTTCTGGACACTATCGGAGCCAGTGGGACATTTTTCATGAACAGATTTACTGCTGCTGTTGCGAATAAACAGTAAGTCCCCTACACACGAACGGGTTCCATTCCGAGAGCGCATCCTGAAGTCCAGCAGAGCTGGCCTAGGTACCCAGCTAACACAGCTGGCTAGATAGTACCGTGCTGTAATAGGTTTATAATACCTTTCACAGATAATACGTAAAAAACAAACACAAAAAATAAAGACACCGTTTTTAATCGTACAGTACAGTCCCTTGAAAAGTACAGTAGTAGAGCACGACACCTGGCACCCAGGGGCTGGCAAGGACCGTCAGCAACAGGAGACGGAGGGCCGGCTGCAGTCTCACTCGTGCCTGACGTTGACGGCACAGGTTCTGGTTTCTTGCTGGACTCAAGTCTAGCTACTCTCCTGAAAAAACGGTCCAGTGATGTCTGGGTAGTGCCGTACCAGCTACATCACCGCTGCTTCTACACTTGCTTCCGGACATCCTGGGCTTGAAATAAGGATACTGTACTGCTGTACTCTGTACAGTTCTGTACAGTAAAGTACACAAGCGCACAACCATTTGTAGAGGATGTGATGATGTACGCCAGACACGTGAACTAACTTATGCGATTGGACGTGCGAACGCACGTTTGCATCTTTGAAAGTTTGCAACTTGAAGGTTCGTGTGTAGGGGACTTACTGATTATGATTATTTTTTCCTTGAGGTCTCACAGTAACTCTGAGTTAGGTCCCGTTTTCATCATCCCCATTCTGTAGATGGGTAAACTGATGTTCAGAGAGGTTGAGACACTCGCCGTACAGCTGGTACGTGGCAGAGTTGGGATTCAGACCCAGGCCGTGAGATCTGGAGCTCGCGCTCTGGACTGCCAGGCTAGACCCTGTCTCAGTGGCTACCGTCATTCAGCCAATCAACCGTCGTGACGCGAGCTTTGCCTGGCTCCTGCAGAGGACACGGGCCTTCAAGGCTGATGTGGGACTGGTGGGAGACAGTGGGGGACTTGGGGAGGCTTTTCCAGAAGTTCTCAGTTTGGATGTCAGCTTGCCCACCAGGGGGAATGAGCTGGAGAAGCCGTCGGGCTTGGGCCAGGCCCCGTGTGGTTACTGGAGTTGGGCCATGCACAGTAGTGATAGCCATTGGTCACAGTCCTGTGTCACCTTTTCAAGTGCCCGGCACTGGGCTAAATGCTTTCACAAATCTTATTTAATTCTCACTCCAACTCTGTGGGCTGTGAGTACCGCCCTTATCTCTAGTTTATAGCTGGGGAAACTGAGGTTCAGAGAGGGACAGCAACTCACCCAAGGGCACACAGCAGGGTGGGAGAAGAGCTGGGTTTCTGCTTCAGCGTCTAATCAGAGAGCTGAGTGTGGGCAGCCGAGGCCCTGGTCCTTGGCTCTGCCATTACGCTCCCTTCTCTCTCAGTGCCTCAGTGTTCTCATCTGTAAGATGGGATCATAACCACCTTCCCTGCTCCTAGGGCCAGTGTGAGTGCCGGGGAGACTCATGGTTACTCCTCAGGGTCCGCGGGGTGAGAGCCCAGAGGCCCTGAGAGCCCACGGAGTCTCAGGGTGGATTAGTGCTGAGGGACCAGCCCAGGGGACCCCTCCTTTCCTGTCCGGTGGCAGAGCTCAGGCCTGACCCTCTGCTTTTCCCCATGTAGAGAGGGAGGTGTAGGAGAAAGGGCATAGGCCTTGGAGGCACAAAACCCTGAATTTGGATCCCGGCTCTGCCACGCATAGCGTGTGGTTTTGGGAACGAGGCCTCGGCTCCCCTGTCTCACAGAGAACAGCTGTGCCTCAGAGAGGCCGTGAGCATTCATGACAAGGAAGGTCAAGGGCCCGCACGCGGCCTGTGTCCTTTGTCTTCTCACCAGCGATATTTAGGGCAGCACTTCCTCCAGGGCTGTGGGCTCTGAGTGGTGATCAGATACCTGGGGCTCCCCCCACAGCGAGGGACTGGGGAGAACCCTGCCCTGCCCAGACTACCCTGCTCACTGGGGGAAGGTCACCCCTCTCTGGGTCTCAACTCCCCGTCTAGAAGCGGGGACCTCCCGCCCAGCCTCGGGCCTGAAGGCATCTCCAGACAGGCACTCAGAAGAGGCCAAGCCAGGGGTACAATCCCAGGGACCTCAGCCGGAGATCTGGGGGAGCTCGGTGCTGGGTGTGGGCAGAGGATGGGTGGGAAATCCCGCGGGACCCAGGTGAGACCCAGCATCATTGGGGTCCCCTCTCAGAAGCGGCTGACACCAGTGCCGTATGCACAGGGAGCTGGGGCGTCGGTACAAAGCAAGGCGCCCAGAGGCCCCGGCCATGGAGCTCCCAGGGAAAGGGGCCTGGCTGTGGTGGTGGGGTCCATCCAGATGTTGACGCCCGCCTCTGTCTCCTAGTCTGGCTGGAGGAGTCAGGGTCGGGCCCGGAGGATGGAGAAGCAGACCCTGAGGCCTGAGGAGAAGGCACGCGTGGGTCGGGGATTTGCCTGCACTGGATCCTTCCCTGGCTGCCCTTCGCTTGGCGTGTCCCGGGGTGCCTGGGACAGATGTGCTGAGAACGCTGGCTGGGAAGACAGAGAGATTCCGGCACTGGACCAGCAGAGGCGTGGCGAGAGGAGCGAGGAATCGGCCCTGCCCTCGTCCAGAACGACATTTCCCAGGCCCCGTTGAGTGGACCGGACCTCTGATGCCTACATATTCTTGCCGACCCCGAGGCACAGTGACGGCCATCTGGGTACCAGGGACAGGCTTTCTTCTAGACAGACTCACAGCGGCCTGGGCCATGCAGACGGGTGCCCAGGAGGTCTGCACATATAAGGACTTCTTGCAAAGGGCTGGCTTCATTTTTTACAAGTTGTCTTACCGACATTGAAACAGTCCAAAAAGTGATTTATAATTTCTTTTTTGCACTGTAAGTAAAGATCCCGTGTAACGAGCAGTGGACCCTGCTTCTTGGGCGGGCAGAGAAGGTGGTGCACACCCGGCTACACAGGTGGGCTCCAGAGAATCGCTTATCGTGGAGGGGCTGGTCCGGCTGGTGACGGGTCTTTGGATGGTCTTGGCCTCCTGATTTGCAGAGTGCCCTGTGCCGCCTCATTCTGTGGCCAGCAGCTACTGGAGTGCGTCCTTGTGACAGACGCACAGAGCACAAGCCAGGCCGTGCGAGAGCATTCTCAGCTTTGGCGTGTGGGCCAAGCAAGTCACACGGCCAAACCCCACGTGGGTGAGCTGGGCGGTCCCATGGCTCAGGAAGGGATGGACATGTCTATTAAAGGGAGTGAGAGACGGGCTGGGAATAATAATCCAGTCTCCCGGCATAGACACTATTATTATCCCCATTTTACAGATGGGGCACTTGAGGAACTTAGAGGCTTAGATCCCTTGCCCAAGGCCATCAGATAGTAAGAATTTGAACCCAGACCCCATACTCTTTTCTTTTTTAATATAAATTTATTTATTTATTTTTGGCTGCGTTTGGGTCTTCATTGCTGCACACGGGCTTTCTCTAGTTGCGGCGAGTAGGGGCTACTCTTCGTTGCGGTGCACGGGCTTCTCATTGCGGTGGATTCTCTTGTTGTAGAGCACGGGCTCTAGGCGCGCGGGCTTCAGTAGTTGTGGCACACGGGCTCAGTACTTGCGGCTCGCGGGCTCTAGAGCACAGGCTCAGTAGTTGTAGAGCATGGGCTCAGTAGTTGTGGCTCACGGTCTCTAGAGTGCAGGCTCCATAGTTGTGGTGCACGGGCTCAGTAGCTGTGGCTTGCAGGCTCTAGAGCACAGGCTCAGTAGTTGTGGAGCACGGGCTCTAGAGTGCAGGCTCCGTAGTTGTGGTGCGTGGGCTCAGTAGTTTTGGCTTGCGGGCTTCAGTAGCTGTGGCGCGTGGGCTCAGTAGTTGTGGCGCGCGGGCTTGGTTGCTCCGCGGCATGTGGGATCCTCCCAGCCTAGGGCTGGAACCCGCGTCCCGCGCATTGGCAGGCGGGTTCCTAACCACTGCACCCCCAGGGAGGCCCCGACCCTGTTCTCTTACCATCCCCACAGAGCTGCCTCCCAGCACATATTCTCGTTGATTGTCCAGGCAAAGCATCCCTTTCCGCCTGGATTCCCAGTGCCCCTCACATCTGCTTGGATGTGACGCTGACACTTTGTCCCCGTCCTTTTCCCTCTGGAACCCAGGGGATGCTGGGTCTCGGGGCTGGGTGCTCGCCCTGAGGGCTGGCTCCATCCACAGCTGGAGGAGCCCACACACCTCCTGGGCACCGCTCAGAGGTCTCCAGCCCACTCAGCAGCCTGCCCTGGCTCATCGCCACTTCATCCCAGGCTTTTAGTGCCCATGGCAATGGGAAGAGGGCTGTGAGCTGGAGGCGAGGTGGAGGGGCGGCCATTAGTGCCCATGGCAATGGGAAGAGGGCTGTGAGCTGGAGGCGAGGTAGAGGGGCGGCCAGAGGCTGTGCAGCCCTGGGGTGCTGGTTTGGCTTTCGTGCGGGGCCCAGGCGAGTCCCCTTGGTCTCCTGGAGAAAGCAAGGTATTGAGGTCCAAGGCACCCACACCAGTCCTGGGCTCTGGGCCTCTTGAATCTGGAGGCCCTGGTGAAGCCAGCCCGGGTTACGCACCCCAGAACGGTGCCAGCTGAGTGAGGGGGACCCTTACTGGTGACATCTGCACCCCAGGCTGCAGGAAACTCCGTGACGCTACTCACTGCCCCTGAGGCTCTGCCTTCAAGCAAGCTGTGTCTCCCCGTGAGGGAGGGGTGAGGTGTAGGGGGCCTGCTCCGTGCAAGCTCTAGGGCATGACATCAGGGGGCATGGGACCCCACTGCAGCCCCAGCATCCCTCTTAGGAGCCGTGAGAAAGATTAGGGGTGCAAGGGTGTCAGCTGGAGCCGCATGGTGCTGTGTGGCCTTGGGAAGCCGTTCAACCTCTCTGAACCTTTTCTTCACCTGTAAAAGTGAGGGTAACAGGACCTCCCATGTGGGGTGCACATGTGGATGAAGGAAAATGATCTACGTAAAACCCCACGTGGTCCCTGGCACAGAGCAGACAGTCAGTAAATGGGAGTCACAAGCACACAGGTCACCAACCTCCCTGGGCCTCCATTTGCTCATCTGGGGAATGGGCACAATTCCACGGGGATGTGAGGAGTCTGGGAGATTGAGGGTGTGAATGTGGGGTGGGTGGTAAGAGCAGGGTACCTGGGACCACATCTGCAGGGGCAGTGCCCCCCCCCTTTATGTGCCAGCAGGATTCTGCTGCCGCACCCGCACCTTTCTTTCCAAGGGCTTCCTTCGGTGCAGGAGCAGTTGGGGTGCAGGCTCTCAGGGCCGCCTGGCAGTACCCCTCACCCACTGTGGATGGGAGTTAGCGGGTAGATTCCCCACCTTCCTTGTCTCTTGTGGGGGCCGTGAGGCAACCAGTTCTTCGCAGTGGGGAGCTGGTTCAAATCCAGATCCCGTCGCAGGGTGGTCTGAGGTAGGGCGTACTGCTGTGCATCCCTAACCAGCTCGCAGGGCGGCAGTGATGCTGGCCCGGGGACACACCGTGAGGCACCCGGCTTCCTAGCTGCCCCAGGTTCCGAAGGGTCTGAGCCCCGGGGGCCCAGCAGCAGAAACCTTCTCCTTACCCTGAATTGGCCCCTGCTTCCTGGGCTCCATCCCCGGGCTCCATTTCTCAGCTGGGTGACCTGGAGCAAGTTACTTTGCCTCTCTGAGCTTCAGTTTTCCCCAGTCTTCAGATGAGGGTAGTAACTAGGTTGTTGGGAAGATGCAGCGGATGACCACGCATACAGAACCTAGAATAATGCCTGGCACAGGGTCTAAAAAGCCCTCTAGAGTGTTAGTGACTATGCTGACACTTGCAAAGCTGTATTTGAGAAGGTCTACCAGGTGTAGTTTGTGGTCACGACCTTGTGGGGTTGTTGGGTTCTACGTGGACTTGACCCTTCATGAAAGGTCAGGGATGCCATATAGCTGGGGGTGGGTGTCTCTTCGGGGCTGGTCTAGAATGACAACTTGTTTTGAACTCAAAACATGGCTCTCTGATCCTTATTTCTCTAGTCTGTTCTTCCTGAAATACATTCTGGGGGAATGGTTACTAATGTCTGCAGTTTATATATATATATATATATATATATATATATATATATTTTTTTTTTTTTTTTTTTGCGGTATGCGGGCCTCTCACTGCCGTGGCCTCTCCCGCTGCGGAGCACATGCTCCAGACGCACAGGCTTAGTGGCCATGGTTCACGGGCCCAGCCGCTCCACGGCATGTGGGATCCTCCCGGACCGGGGCACGAACCCGTGTCCCCTGCATCGGCAGGCGGACTCTCAACCACTGCGCCACCAGGGAAGCCCTGCAGTTTATTTTTCATGTATTTTTAATGCCAAAGCCACACATACAGATGAAAACGACCAACAAAAAAGTTTTGTTAAGTGGCTCCCCGCAAAGTGTGTGTGGAGGAGTGGGGGGAGGGGCAGAGGTCACTGTCAGTAGCGACCTAAGAGAAATTAACAGCTCTGGTCACCCACAAAGCCCGTTACCCCTAACCCCTGTGCGTCGCGGAGAAGCTCCCAGATTCTAAGAGGCGAGGGAACGTTCGGGTCCTCGGCGCGGGATTCGTGCTACATGCCTCCGGGAAGGGAAGCTGGGAGAAGAGAAAAGTGTGAAAACAGATGGAAATGTAAGTTTTTAATGACAGCGGCAGATGGCAAAAAGACACAAGAGTGTATTCGCACCATGTCGGAGGCATTTGAGAGCCCCTGGCTCAGCCGTGATGTGCACCGTGCGACTGGCGGGATGGCTCCCTCGCCAGACACTGGTGGTCGGGGAGCGGCAGGGAGGGGCTCGCGGGCCCAGGGGTGGGGCTGGCGGCGGGGACACTGCCAGGCTGTATGGAGCCACAGGTAGCTGTGGTCACCTGGGTGGGGTCCGGAGGCGCCCCCGGACCTGGCTTTTCTGGACACTGGCAGACAGTCCATGGGCTCTGGTTTCAGACCGTTCCTCCTCTAGATCCCCGTGGCTGTGCCCTAGGTGCCACAGCTCTGCTAGACATCTGCTCCCAGCCTCCAGGTGAGTCTCCTGCTGCCAGACCGAGTCCCACCCCCACTCCATCCCCCAGAGTTCTCTTTCTAAACTGCGAATCGGCGCATGTCACTCCCCGACCTGCATCCCTCACACAGCCTGCCGCTGGGCGCGGGATCTGGTCCAGGTCCTGGTAGCAGCTTACACAGCAGCCCTGGAGAACTGGCCGCCGCCTGTCTTTCCTGCTCCACTCGTCACCGCACTCAACAGAGAGAACACCGTGAGGGCTGTCGTGAGAAGAAAGAACACTGCCGCTGCGTGCAGGAGCCCCCGCTGTCTACACGGCTGCATCAGACGCAGTTGAGGATTCACCTGTGTCAGTCCCGGCCCACCTCTCAAGGGCTCAAGGGCTCTAGGAGATGAAGGATGGAACGGGTACCCGTTGAAGTGGCTGGGCCCCCACCAGTGGGAGCCGCCAAGGGCCAGAAACAGCAGGTGACGTCAGGCCTGCGGGGCTCATGCTGTCGCCTTGCCTCGGAGACCTCAGAGGGGCAGGCGGTGTCCACGTCCCAGGAGGAGCCGTACTCTCTGGTGGGAGCCCAGGTAGGGAAGCAGCCTTGTGCTATGATCAGGGCCCTGCTTGGTAGGTACCACCGCATTGCCCCTTTCAGCTGGGGCCAGGAAGGGAGACTTTCCGGAGGAGGTGTTTTCCATTCTGCGTTTCCCTTTTGCTGCTGTGACTGTAATTCTAGCCCCCTCTTTAGATGGGAGGTACCACCAGTGGCAAGTCACTGCTTCTCCTAAAGTCCCCTGGAGACCACAGGAGAGTGGCTGGCCTCCCAGCCACGGCCGAGGCCTGAGCCCCACCCGGAGGTTCCGATTCCCTTGGTCCAGGTGTGGCCAGGGATCCGGCAGATTCTCCTGCACAGGCAGGGCCGAGAGTCCCTGGAAGGTCTCGCCCACCTCCTCGATTCTTCGCTGTAATTAATTCTTTGTTTTCCTGGACCACTGTCTCCTCGCTGTAAGAATATCGCTCCCCCGTGGCAGAGGTTCAGACCTCTGAGGTAGACTGACCTGGGACTGAACACAGATGCTCTGTGCAGAGGGACCACGGGCCCTTCCCAATGTGCTCAACCCCACGATCATCGAGGTGCATTGGTGGGCGACCGGCCCCGTGTCTGGGGCCCCGCCCCTTCAGAGGACGCCAGTCCCCCGAAAGCGCCCAGTTTCCACGTGGGGCTAGTGGCTACTGTCCTGGATCAGACAGCTACGGGACATTTCCAGCATTTCAGAAAGATCCACTGCTTTAAAATCAGAAGGCCGGGTTGCTGACTCATTTGGGCAGCACTGTTCTGTGGCCTAAATTCAAATGTGACCAAAAGGTATTGCAGTGCTGACGACCCTGAGGGGGACACTCGGTTAGGTGCCCCGGGGGAACCTGGAGGGGAGACTTTTTAATTTTATGTTTTTTTTTTTTTTTTCCGGTACGCGGGCCTCTCACTGCTGCGGCCTCTCCCGTTGCGGAGCACAGGCTCCGGACGCACAGGCTCAGCGGCCATGGCTCACGGGCCCAGCCGCTCCGTGGCACGTGGGATCCTCCTGGACCGGGGCACGAACCCGTGTCCCCTGCATCGGCAGGCGGACTCTCAACCACTGTGCCACCAGGGAAGCCCTCATGTTGATCTTGAGCACTTGGCTGCGGGCTTGTTGGTCAGGTTTCTCTGTTTTTCCCTGTTTCCATCCTGTTCTCTTTAGAAGGAAGTGGCCATGGGCGGCCCGCACTTCAGGAGTGATGAGCTTTATCACACCATCTGGAGTTCTGCCCAGGAGATGTGCCCCTCCATCCCAATTTATTTTGTCCCCACCTCTTAATTCCTTACCACAGGGGTCATCTAGCTTCCTGGGGAGGCACTGTTCCAACAGGAGATAATGGTGCAAGGGCCCCGACTACCCTGTCTAAAGTAGCGCCCCATCCCCCCTCCCGCTTGACTTTTCCTCTTGTCTGTTTCCCTCTCTCCTTCCCCGACTTTCAGAGGCCAGGCCTGAGGATGGGCTATCAGGAGTCCTCTCTGGATCCTGGGAGCAGCTCAGAGCCGGACTGGATTCACTTCCCTCCCCAGTTTTGCAATTATAAGAACTTCCTGGGGAGCGTGTAAAGTGTGTGATTACTGAGTCAGAAAGCCTGGGTCTGGAGCTTAGGGAGGGGCATTTAAATCACAGTTTTCTTGAGGAATAATATTCTTGAGGAATAATAATAATTTAATAATAATAAAACATATTGTAAAATTCACCCTTTCAAAGTTTACAGTTCAGTCAGTAGTTTTTAGTATGTTTAGAGTTGAACAACCATCACCACTGTCTAATTCCAGAACATTTCCATCCACCTCAAAAGAAACTCCATCCCCCTCTCCCTCAACCCTGGTAACCACTAATCTAGTTCCTGTCTCTATGGGTTTACCTCTTCTGCACAGTTCATGTAAATGGATCATATATGGTTTTTGCATCTGGCCTCCTTCATGCAGTATAACGTTTTCAAGGGTCCTCCACATTGTAGCATGAACCAGTGCTTCGTTCCTGTCTGTGGCCGAATAATATTCCGTAATAAGTATGGACCCCATGTTGTTTATCCAACCCTCAGCTGATGGACATTTGGTATTTCCACCTGCTGGCTATTGTGATTTATGCTGCTTTAATAAGCCCCCTAAGGACCTTGGTGTCTCTGCTCAAGTTTGCGATTCCAGGACGCCACCATTTTGCAGTGTGTAAAGCTGCACCCCCCTTGTCTCGTTCTCCCAACAGCCCTGCAAGGTAAGCAGCGGCACTGTCCCCACCTTACCCATAAGGACACCAAGGTACCGGGCTCTGCTAGCTCTCCTGCCCATTCTGCTGAGGCCTCTCTGAACCTCGGCTTTCCAGCCAGCTTTTTTCCTTTGCTCTTTTACAAAAAGTTTTGCGAAAATCAGCGAGGGAAGCCTCACCCAATTTGAAACGCAGAAGATATTTGCCAGTCAGGAAAACATTCCCGCATCAGTCAAAACCCAGACAAGCTGGCACACACTCTCTGCAGATGACTGAGGGAGCTTCTATTTTAGGAGGGGCCAGGTGGCCTACAGCTTCCCCTCCCCCCAACCCCCCTGGGTACTCCTCTTCCTACCTCGCTTGCAGATGAAGAGACTGAAGTTCAGAGCGGTCACGTGCTCTCACACAGCATCCCGAGGGATCTTTTATTTTCTTTGAAAGTATTTGTCTTTATAAATGACACAATGAAGGAAATCTCCAGGCCTGCAATGACAGCTTCCAATGCAGATAAACAACAGACAACTTTCCAGGCCATGCGAGTGAGCAGAACTGAAGTATGGCCTTATTTCATCTTCCCGACAACCTGACATGGGGCAGGTTTCAGGGTGGTTAGAGAGGAAAGCGTGCTGTTTTCTGGGGTGAGGCAGCTTTCCTGCTGGGATCTAGAACCCTGAAATCCTCCTGTCACATATGTTTTTTCTTAGAGCTTAATAATCATGGTGTTGAACTCAACTCCCCCCCGCCCCCCGCCCCTTCCTGACCCCCCACCCCCACCCCACCCCAGTTTTCTTCTAGCTGCTTCACCTCACGGGAAGTTTTCCTGGCCTATTATCACCCCATCGAAATCCCTGATTAAAAACAACACTCTGTCCTCACCTAGACCCCTGAATCACAAGTCTGAAGGTGTGTGCATGTGAACATTCGGAATCTCCCAGGGGATGCTGACAGGCGGGTCTTAGAACCCCTGTTGTAAAGGTTCACATGAGCCCACGGTATAGAGGGCACCCGGAATGGCCAACAGATGAGCTCATCAATACGTTATTTGCCCCAGTCGGGCAAACTTGACCCTTCACAAGTCTCATCTGGGGAGTTTGCCAAAGTGCAAATTGTGAGCCTCTCCCCCGTGGTTTCCGAATTGGAATATGTGGGTGCAGTGGAGGAATCTGCGTGTTTTTTTTCTTTTGGCCGCACCGCGCTGCTTGTGGGATCTTAGTTCCCCAACCAGGGATCAACCTGGGCCCAAAGCGCGGAGTCCTAACCACTGGACCGCCAGGGAATTCCCAGGAATCTTCATTTTTATAGATATTAACCCCGTGTACAGGGAAGACAGAAGATTGTGAAGTTAAAGGAAACAACGCCTTCGCTCGCTCCGCTGCGGCCCGGGGCCGCGTCTGTGTAGCCAGGTCACGCCGTAACCAATTACATGCATATACTCCTGGCCCCGAAGCCCACCCGCAGTTTGACTCGCGGTGTTGGCGGGCGGGCGCCCGGGGCAGGTGAAGGGACGCCAAAGGCTGTACGAGGTGCAGGTGGGCCGGCAGCGCCAGGCGCGCTGGCCCACGGGAGGGGCGGGCCGGGACACGGGAGGGGGCGGGGCCTGCCCACGAGAGGGGCGGGGTCCGCTCGCAGCCTCGTTCAGGCTCGCCAATCCGCGGGCTCGTAGCATCCGCGGTCCCCGCCTTCCGCCGCCCCGCGGAGAACGCCGCGTTTCTATAGGCCGGCCGAGGCTTTTTCCGGCCAGAGGCTGGGCATTGCTCGGTGGCGGGAAAGCGGCGGCTGTAGCGCGTCTTCCCGGACGCTGAGGGGCCGGAGGCGGCGGCGGCGAGTCCCGGGCTGGCCGCGGGCCCCACCATGGACGCGGCCGAGGTGGAGTTCCTGGCCGAGAAGGAGCTGGTCACCATCATCCCGAACTTCAGTCTGGACAAGATCTACCTCATCGGGGTGAGACCCGCCGGGCCTCCGGCTCTCCCTGGTCGGTTCCCGCTTCCGGGAGGGGGGCTGGGCGGCGGGTCCAGCGCCCACAGGTGTCGTCTGGCGGCGTTCGGGACCCAGCGCAGATGAGCGGTGGGGCGCAGTGTGGCCGAGAGCGCGCTCGGGCTTCAAGCCCGTGGACAGCAGAGGTCCAGCGATGCAGTTTTGAGGGACGGTGTGTGTGTGTGTTTGCTTGCAGGGCGACCTGGGGCCTTTCAACCCCGGCTTACCAGTGCAGGTGCCTCTGTGGCTGGCGATCAACCTGAAACAGAGACAGAAGTGTCGGCTGCTCCCCCCCGAGTGGATGGACGTGGGTGAGCACGTGGAGGGGGAGCGGGGTGTGGAGGGGGAGCGGGGTGTGGTGGGGGGGCGGGCCGTGGGGGCTGGGGTCGCCCTCCCGCGGGTGGAGGCAAGCGGTCCTTCCAGGGACGCGGCGTCGCTCATCAGGTGAAATCAATGAATGCTTCCCAGCCTCAGCTGCGCGAGGCCGCGGACCACTGTTAGTAATGGTCGTTTGGGGTATGTGTACAAATTCTACTTAAGGTTTTGATTTTAAGATATTTCCACAAACTTTTTAATTTTAATTCTAGTTTTATATTGCAGTATAGTTGATTGACAGTGTTGTGGCAGTTTCAGGTGTTCAGCAAAGTGATTCAGGTACATATACATGTGTCTACTCTTTTGCAAATTCTTTTCCCACTTTGGTTATTACAGAATAGTGAGCAGAGTTCCCTGTGCTGTACAGTAGGTCCTTATTGATTTTTTTTCCCCCTCCCCCCCAATTATCTGTTTTAAATATCATAGTATGTATATGTCAACCCCAAACTATCAGTTTATCCCTCCCCTCCACCTTTCCGCTTTGGTCACCGTAAGTTTGTTTTCTAAGTCAATGAGTCTGTTTACGTTTTGTAAATAAGTTCATTTGTATCTTTTTTTTAAGATTCCGCATATAAATGTTATCATATATTTGTGTTTCTCTGTCTGACTTATCTCACTTAGTATGATAATCTCCAGGTCCATCCATGTTGCTCCAAGTGGCGTTCTTTCTTTCTTTTTTTAATGACTGAGTAATATTCCATTGTGTATATGTACCACACCTTCTTTACCCATTCCTCTGTCGATGGACATTTAGGTGGCTTCCATGTCTGGGCTATTGTAAACAGGGCTGCAGTGAACATTGGGGTGCATGTATCTTTTCGAATTAAGTTTTGTCCTGGTAGATGCCCGGGAGTGGAATGGGCTGGATCATGTGGTAATGCTAGTTTTAGTTTTCTGAGGAACCTCCACACTGTTCTCCATAGTGGCTGTATCAATTTACATTCCCACCAACAGTGCAAGAGGGTTCCCTTTTCTCCACACCCTCTCCAGTATTTATTGTTTGTAGGTTTTTTGATGGTGGCCATTCTGACTGGTGTGAGGTAATATCTCATTGTAGTTTTGATTTGCATTTCTCTAATGATTAGAGATGTTGAGCAGCTTCTCATTTGCCTGTGGACGTGTGTATGTTTTCTTTGGAAAAAAGGCTATTTAGGTCTCCTGTTTTTTGATGGGGTTGTTGTTTTGTTTTGTTTTGTTTTTTTGATATTGACCTGCATGAGATCTTTCTAAATTTGGGAGATTAATTTTTTGTTGGTCACATCATTTGCAAATATTTCCTCCCATTCTGTGGGTTGTTTTTTCGTTTTGTATATGGTTTTCTTTGCTGTGCAAAAGCTTTTGAGTTTAAAGAGGTCTGTTTGTTTATTTTTATTTTTGTTTTTAAGTTTTATTTTATATTGGAGTACAGTTGATTAACAATGTTGTGTTTGGGACTTTGCTGGTGGCGCAGTGGTTAAGAATCCGCCTGCCAGTGCAGGGGACACGGGTTCGAGCCCTGGTCTGGGAAGATCCCACATGCCGCGGAGCACCTAAGCCTGTGTGCCACAACTACTGAGCCTGCATTCTAGAGCCCGCAAGCCACAACTACTGAGCCTGTGTGCCACAACTACTGAAGCCCACGTGCCTAGAGCCCGTGCTCTGCAACAAGAGAAACCACTGCAATGAGAAGCCGGCGCTCAGTAACAAAGACACAATGCAGCCAAATAAATAAATAAACAAAACAAAACAATGTTGTGTTAATTCCGGGTGTAAAAAAAGTGATTCAGTTATACGTGTACATGTATCTGTTCTTTTTCAAATTCTTTTCCCGTTTAGATTACTAGGATAGTGAGCAGGGTTCCCTGTGCTATACAGTAGGTGCTTGTTGGGTGTCTATTTTAGATATGGTAGTGTGTATATGTCAATCCCAAACTCCAAATTTATCCCTTCTCTCTGTTTCTCCCCTTTAGTAACCATAAGTTTGTTTTCTAAGACTGTGAGTCTGTTTCTGTTTTGTAAATAAGTTCATTTCTCTCTTTTTTTAGATTCTTCATATAAGTGATATCATATGATATTTGTTTTTCTCTGGCTTACTTTGCTTAGTATGTTAATCACCAGGTTCATCCATGTTGCTACAAATGGCATTATTTCATTCTTTTTTTATTTTTTAATTTTTTTAATTGAAGCATAGGTGATTTTTTTAACATCTTTATTGGAGTAGAATTGTTTAACAATGGTGTTAGTTTCTGCTGTATAACAAAGTGAATCAGCAATACATATACATATATCCCCATATCTCCTCCCTCTTGCATCTCCCTCCCACCCTCCCTATCCCACCCCTCTAGGTGGTCACAAAGCACCGAGCTGACCTCCCTGTGCTAGCATGGGTGATTTCCAATGTTGTGCTAATCTCTGCTGTACAGCAAAGTGACTCACATATGTACACATATATACATTCCTTTTTTTCCTAAAGAGTGGTACATTAGATCATTTATTTGTGGCAAGACAGATATTTCCATAGTGCATTTTTTCCCGTGATAGAAGCTTTAAATATTCCCTTATTTTCCTTAGAAATTTGATTTTTGCTGGAAATGGACTAGATTTTTCAAGATTTTTTTTTCAAGATTTTTAAAAAAATTTTTATTTTTGTTTATTGAAGTATATTTGATTTAGTGTTGTGTCACTGCTGTACAGCAGAGTGACTCATTTATACATATACACTCTTTTTATATTCTTTTCAATTATGCTTTATCCCAGGATATTGAATATAGTTCACTGTGCTGTATAGTAGGACCTTGCTGTTTGTCCAGTCTCTGTATAATAGTTTACATCTGCTAACCTCAAACTCTGATTTGATCCCTCTCCCCCACCGCCCTCCCCCTTGGCAACCACAAGTATGATCTCTTATGTCTGTGAGTCTGTTTCTGTTTTGTAGGTAGGTTCATTTGTGCCATATTTTAGATTCCACATATAACTCATATGGTATTTGTATTTCCCTTTCTGGCTTATTTCATTAGTATGATAATCTCCAGGTCTGTCTGTGTTGCTGCAAATGGCATTACTTCATTCTTCTTAATGGCTGAGTAATACTCCATTGTGTATATGTACCACATCATCTTTATGCATTCATATGTTGATGGACATTTGGGTGGCTGACATGTCTGGGCTAATTGTAAGCAGCACTGCAGTGAACATTGGGGTGCATGTATCCTTTCAAACCATGGTTTTCTCCAGATAGATGACCAGTAGTGGGATTGCTGGGTCATATGGTAATTCTATTTTTAGTTTTTTAAGGAACCTCCATACTGTTCTCCATAGTGGTTGTACCAATTTACATTCCCACCAACAGTGTAGGAGGGTTCCCTTTTCTCCACACCCTCTCCAGTGTTTATGGTTTGTAGAGTTTTTGATGATGGCCATTCTGACTGGTATGAGGTGATATCTCATTGTAGTTTCAATTTGCATTTCTCTAAGAATTAGCGATGTTGAGCATGTTTTCATGTGCCTGTGGACGTCTATATGTCTTCTTTGGAGGAAAGTGTATTTAGGTCTTCGCCCATTTTTTTATTGGGTTGTTTGATTTTTCGATATTGAGCTACACGACCTGTTTGTAAATTTTGGAGATTAATCTTTTGTTGGTCACATCGTTTGCAAAACTTTCTCCCATTCTTTGGGTTGTCTTGTCATTTTGCTTATGGTTTCCTTTGCTTGCAGAAGCTTTTGAGTTCAGTGAGGTACCATTTGTTTTTTGTTTTAATTTTTAAAAATTTATTTATTATTATTTTTTACTTATTTGTTTTGGCTGTGCCAGGTCTTTGTTGTGGCATGCAGGCTTCTAAGTTTTGACATGTGGGCTTCTTAGTTGTGGCCTGCAGGCTTCTTAGTTTTGGTATGCATGCAGGATCTAGTTCCCTGTTCAGGGATCAAACCAGGGTGCCCTGCATTGGGAGCTCAGAGTCTTTCCCACTGGATCACCAGGTAAGTCCCTTTTTGTTTTTTATTTTTAATTTTTATTTTATATTGGAGTATAGTTGATTAACAATGTTGTGTTATTTTCAGGTGTACAATGAAGTGATTTAGTTATACATGTATGAACTCTTTTTCAAATTCTTTTTTCATTTAGGTTATTAGAGAATGTTAATCAGAGTTCCCTGTGCTGTACAGTAGGTCCTTGTTGGTTATGTATTTTAAATATAGTAGTGTGTACAGTAAGTCCCTACATGTGAACCTTCAAGTTGCGAACTTTCAAAGATGGGAACGTGCGTTCACATGTCCAGTCACGTCTGTTAGTTCACGTGTCTGTCGTACATTGCCATGTGCGTGCATCCTCTACAAGTGGTTGTGCTTTGGTGTACTTCACTGTATAGAGTACGCTAGTACAGTATCTTTATTTCAAGCCCAGGGTGTCCGGAAGCAGGCATAAAAGCAGCGGTGATGTAGCTGGTACTGCTAAGAAGCGCCAAGCAATAATAGTGGAAACAAAAGTGCAAATAATTGAGAGAGTGGAGCGAGGCGAAAAGATGGCAGACGTCGCTCGTTCTCATAACAAGAATCGTTAACCACCAGCACGATCCTAAAGAAGAAGGACAAGATCATGGAACGTGTGAAGGCTGCTGTGCCGATGACGTTGACAGTGATATCAAAGAAGCGTGGGAAAGTGATGGAGGAGGTGCAGAAACTTCTCAGTAGGTGGATGGCGGATCAGCATCAGCGTCGAGTCCCACTCAGCTTAATGCTGATTCAAGAGAAAGCCAAAAGCCTTGCAGAAGAAACACGGCAAAGAATCAGAGGGCACATCTTCTAATGCCAGCCACGGCTGGTTTCATCGGTTCAAGGCTGGAGCCAGCTTCACAAGGTAAAAGTAAGTGGTGAGGCAGCGAGTGCAGATACGATAGCTGCCCGGGAATTTCCTGAAACGCTTTGAGAAATTATTGATGAAGGCGCAAATTTACCCGAG